GCATTCCTGACCTTAGGCTCTGAGAACTGGGATGAATGGAATCCAGTGACCTATGAACCCGAGCTCCTCCGCTCTCTTGGGGAGTCCGAGGGTCAGCTATGCAGGTCTCAGACTTTCCAAGGAGAAAACCCTAAACTCTGGATTGGGAGCCCTTGGGTCTCCAAGGACCTTCACAGCTAACGCCCAGAGATCGAGGCAAGAGGGCTCTTTGATCCTCAAGGGCTTGGACTTTGGCCGCTTGTCTCTAAGGAGCGCAGTGTCTGAAGTCAGACCGTCCGACTTTGGCTTCAGCAGTGAGACCTTGGCCTTGAACTGAGGAGCTGGGGAATTCCTATGTCAGGTACAGAGAAACGTTTAACCATTTAACCAAGAGTGCAGGCTCCCCGCTGAGCTCAGGTTCTGTGACATCATCAATGATGTCTCCCTGGAGCCTGCTCCCGGGACCCGCAGAGCACCAGGGCCTCCGTACCTACATGTCAGGAATCTCGGACCCCAATAAGCGAGGTTCTTGACCCATTAGTCCAACAGGTTTCTATGGGCTGAACGACGCAGGTCCCTACATGCTGGAAGTTTTGCTCCTTCTCAGACTGGGAAGTGTGCGGGGACCTTAACTCTGGGTGGGGTACTTGGCATCTTAGAAACCAACACTTTGGAACAAGCAGATGGCATAATGGCTGTTACTGGAATCCCACGTAGTCAACCATGGTTTGAGTCCCGGACTCAGTGGCTTAAACTCACTCTGCGCGCGTGTGCGTGTGAGACCCTCAGGTCTAAGACAGACTCTGGACTTCAAGGAAGTTAGACACCAAGTAGGCCCTCAGCCCTGAGGTGTTGGTTCCTTTCTTTCTTTCTTTCTATTTATTTATTTATTTATTTATTTATTTATTTATTTATTGGAGAGGTTTTTGCTATAGGGCGTGTACGCTCACCAGAAAGACAGAGACAGAGAGACAGAAAGTGAGAAATCACCACCCCCCAGGGGGGATGGCCACGCCACAATCCCTTCTCCTCCATTCTCCTCTCGGTATCTTGGGCACGCACGCACATGCACTTGGTGTGAGTTTAAGCCACCAGGTCCGGGACTTGAACCATGGTCGACTACATGGGAGTTCAGTGACATAGCCATTACACTAACTGTTGGTCCCGTTGTTTGTTTATTTTTTAGAGAGAGGTTTCTGCTATAGGGTACATGCACTCACTGGAGAGACAGAGAGACAGAAAGCGAGAAATCACCCTCTGAGGGGATGACCATACCACAGTCCCTTCTCTTTCATTCTCCTCTTGGGATTTTGAGCACACATGCACATGTACCTGGCATGA